GTGTCGACACTCCCCTGGGACCGCCTGGCTTGCGCGGCTGTCCAACGGCATGACCGCGACGCAGACCCAACGCGCCGACGGGTGGGCTGGCGCCCCGCCTACGTAGGGCGTTTCCCCTGAGACTGACTTTTCTCCTCCCTCCCTGCCCATGATCCCTCGAGATGCGACGGTTAGTCGCCTACACCGGGAATATTGCGAAGTGGGTCGCTTCCTCCTGGAAAAGCGCGAAGATAGTCGCTAATCGCAGGAGGGCGAGCAGGAAAAAGTCAGGGGTGACCTTGCCGACCGTCCAACACAACCCACTGGCAACGCGACCTCTTGGCACACCCAACCGCCTCGGATTCCAACGGGCTCTGCGACGGTCAGTTGCCGCCACCGGGAAGAATGTGATGATAGTCGCGAGTCGCAGGGTGAAGGGCAGGGAGAAGACAGAGAGGACTTTGCCGACCGTCCAACACAACCCGCTGGCAACGCGACCCCTGGGAACACCCAGCCGCCTCGGATTCCAACAGATACTGCGATGGTCGCTCGCGCACACACGCCGGGGAGACTGCGAAATGGGTCGCGAGCCACAGGAGAAGGGGCAGGGAGAAGACAGAGAAGACCTTGCCGACCGTCCAACACAACCCACTGGCAACGCGACCTCTGGGAACACCCAGCCGCCTCGGATTCCAACAGACTCTGCGACGGTCAGTCGCCTCCACTGAGAAGAGTGCGAAGATAGTCGCGAGTCGCAGGAGGAAGGGGAGCCCACCGCTGGGGAGGAGACCGTCGAGGAGACCATCGAGGGAGCGGCGGTGGAGTCCTTGGAGGAGAAGTGTGAGAACGAGGAGAGCGAGAGCATCCCGGAGGACGACCTGGGTATTACGGTGGACACAACGGGACCTTGGAAGACGAGGCCGCAGTCCGGCGAATGGTGGACAGAGGGCGGTTCGCTGTCCACCAGGGGCCCCCGTGCCCGAGCGTGCGACCAGCCCGCTGCAGGCCCCGCCCGCTGCAAGCGCGGACGCGCCGCCTCGGCGGGCGGGCTTTGCCCGCGAGATCACCCCTGCACTGGCGTCACTTTTGGCGAAGCGTGCGGAGCCGCGGGGCGACGGGGGCCCCCAGCCGTCACCCGTCGCTGACTCTTCCAGCCGATGGCGACCCAGTGTCCGAACTGCGCTCGCCCAGCCGAAGACCGCGTCGACCCCGACGATCGCCGCTGCCACCGCTACGACCGTCAGCGGTGACTCGTCCCCGTGCGTGCCGCCTGCCCGTGGAGACGGGGCAGGCCTGGACGCGTCGCTTACTATGCCCTCGCCCTCCGATGCGAACGGGTCTCTTACGAGCGCAGGGCTGGGCGCGGGCCAAGCAGCGGGGCAGTCGCCTGGCGAGTCTGCCTCGGGGGCCGGGGCGCTCGTGGACGACCTGCTGGCCCTCGTGGAGCGGGTCAAGGCGTGGCAAAGGACGGGGGGGGCACGCAAGTGGCGTGACTTCTGTCGCGCCAACCGGGCGACGGGGGGCCCTGGAACCTACGATCCCGCGCGCCGCGAGCCTGACGTCCTCCGCCGGTTCCCAGCGCTCACGGGGAAATGCCCAGACTGCGACGACTATTTCGAATTTGCCCTCGCCACGATGAGCCGCCGTTCTCTAATGGGGCGCGTTCGGGGCGTGATTCGCTCGTCTTCGGATAGCCTTGCACAGTGGGGGTGGCGCGCTATCGACCACGAGAAGTCTGGCAAAGGCAGAGCCCAGCCCTAAGGTGTACCCATGCACGTCATCGTCGCTTTCATGCGTGCTCGCGCCGGGCACGAGAGGACGTCGGTCTACGTTCCCGTGGGCGCGGTAGCGCCCTGGGGCTCCCACCTGCGCTGGCCCGCTCCACTGTAGGCATGGAGTGCCTACCGCGGCCCTGGGAGCTAGCCTGGCGTCCTGCCCTCCCCACGCCGGAAAGTCCTTCGCCGCCTTATGGCTGTGCCTTCTTGCGCTTGGCTTTCGAGTGTGGGTGGCGCGTGCACTTGGGCATGGGCTATCTGTGCCTGGATTTCCTCAAGGGTTCAGTGTTCGCTTACCGTCTCCCCCCCCCCCTCGGCGCCTGGCGTGCGACCGTCTCCTCGCTGTCCCCCGGGAAAGGTGGCTTTATTATTTCAGCTCTAGGCCTGGCGTGCCTGCCGCAGCCCTGGGAGTCAGCCTGGCGTGCTGCTCCCCCCGCGCGGGGACATCCTCGCCGCCTCGCGGCTGTGCCCTCTTTTACTGGGCTTTGGTAGTATGGATGGCACGTACAACTGGTTGTGGGAAGTGGCACGTACCATGGAGTCAACGGCCCACCGTGGCAGGCTGCCTCCATCTCCCCTTCCTGTTTTTCTTCCAGGGCTGCGACGGTTAGTCGCTCTTCTCCTCCTGCGGCCCCTGCGCCCGCTTACCAGCGCCGCGGAGACAAGCAGCTCGGCGACGACTGCAAATCGGGCGAGCAGCGCTACGCTGACGAGCACAATATGGCCCAACACCATTGGCCCAAACACAGCGGGGCTGAGCACCGCGTCGCCGACCAGCACCGCCAAGACACGGGGGGCGGCGACGAGCAACAATGAGAGTAGTAGCGCGACGTCGATGATCACCACGGGCTCCAGCACAACGGAGTCGAGGGGCACGTCGCTGACCAGTGCCACCGCGAGAGGCAGCGTGGCAACGATCACCAGAGAGTCGTGCAGCACGACGTTGCTGAGCACACCAGGGTCCAGTTGCGTGGGCTCCAGCCCAACGGGATCGAGCAGCGCGTGCCTAACCAGTACCACTGGGGCAAGCAGCGCGGCAACGTGGCCTTGTACTCTCACCTCAGCTACCTGGGGCGCTCCGGCGCACAAAGTAACATGGTCGATGAGAGCGTGTCGCTTTCCACGGGAGCTCAATTGGCACAGTCAGGGTTGGCATGGCCAGGGTTGGCGCAGTCGTGATTGGCATAGCGCGGTCGGAAATGACACAGCCACGATGGGCATAGTCAGCAACAACTGTTCGAGTAAATGTTCCACCGTTCTCCTCCTTTCCTCTCGCACCTTGTGCCCAGCGTGTGCTCTCGCACCGTGTGCCTGGCGGGCACTTCCCTCCCTCCCCTCCTGCGTCCTAGTGCTGCAGCGGTTAGCTGCCACACCGGGGTGCCTACCGTGCCTGGCGTGCACTTCCCTTCCTCTCCTCCCGCCTGTGCCTGGCGTGCACTTCCTTCCCTCCCCTCCTGCATCCCTATGCTGCAGCGGTTAGCTGCCACACTGGGGTGCCTGCCGTGCCTGGCGTGCACTTCCCCTCCTCTCCTCCTGCTTCCTTCTTGTGCCTGGCGTGCCCTTCCTTCCCTCCCCTCCTGCGTCCTAAGGCTGCAGCGGTTAGCTGCCACGCCGGGGTGCCTACCGTGCCTGGCGTGCGCTTCCCCTCCTTTCCTCCTGCACCCGGGTGCTCTCCCTCCTGTTTCACGAGGTTCTTCCGTGGCGGCAGGGGTTTGCTGCCCAATGCTGCTTCCTGATGGCGTTCAGGTGGTCTGGAGTCTGGAATTCATGCAGGGGTTCACAGGGAACGGTGCTGCGTCACATTCGCTGAGGTCAGGTGCCCCCTGGCCTGCTCCGACGGACACCGCTGTTTCAGTGGGTCTTTCGCAGTGCCTACCGCACGGTACCTGGACCTCGGGTTCGGCAGGTGTGGCTCTGTACGCTCGTTGGCCGACGTTCTCCTGCATGGATTTCGCTTTCGACAAGTGTTATAGGTTTTGCTGCCGTTGGCAGTCTTGTTCTGGAATTCGTGCAAGGTTTCACACAGAGAATTGTGCTTGTCGCATTCTCTGAGGTCAGGTGCCCCCTGGTTTGGACTTCGTGCAAGGACTCACGCAGGGAATGGTGCTGCGTCGCAGTCGCTGAGGGCAGGTACCCCCTGGCCTGCTCCTGGCTGGTGTCGGCCCCCAGCCCGGGAGGTTCCAGTGGGTCGTCTCGCCACATTTCCTACCTTACGGCACGTGGACTTCGGGTTCGGCAGGTGTGGCTCTGTACGCTCGTTGGCTGACGTTTTCCTGCGTGGACTTCGCTTTCGACAAGTGTTACAGGTTTTATGGCCGTTCGTAGTCTTTTCGGTGATGAGGTTGTCCCTCTTCACTCCAGCGCCGATACGATGATTCGGCATTTGTGTCGCCTTGCTCTCGGGTGTCGTCTGGGTGTGCCTGTCGGTCCAGTTAGTCTTCGACGGCGTTTGCCTGACTCACACCGAGCGTTCGACCTCTGCGTGGTTCTGGTCGCGCCACCGCGCGATTTTGGCTGCGTTTACTTGCTGGTTGCCACCGGGATTTCCACGCCGCAGGGTTTGGGAGTATCGGTTCTGCCTCTTCTCTCGAGTGGCTGCCCAGTCGCTCGCTTCGCTTGCCTTTTCCTTCCTGCTGCCTAGTCGCGGCCCGACTAGTGTTTGGACGGCTTTCGACACGCCTCGCGAACCTGTTGACCAGCAAGTATCCCCACTTGCCTGTCTCCTGCTGCTTAGGGCCTCATTCAGCCCGCTGGGTAGGCGCGCGTGTTCGGACGGCGCGCGGTTGGACCGCGACGCTCGCGAACAGAAAGAGATATCCCCACCTGCCCAGTCAGAATCCCTGCCTGTGAGAGCTGACGGGAAATGGAAGGAAGAGACACGTACAGTGGAACAGAGCGGGCAATGAGAGGAGGGCGAGGAGGGCGTTGAGCCATCTTGGAGGCTATCTTGGAGCATCGGGACACCTGGGGGGGCATCTTGGGGACATTTTGGGGGCATCGATCAAATGAGGAGGGGTTTTCGATGTCGCCCCTCCCCCCCTTCAGGGGCCCTCAAACTCGCCTTTTGGAACCGTCTTAGGCGCTGCTGCGGGGGGTCTTGGGGCCCTCGTGGGGCCGTCTCTGGGCCGTCTTGGGGCCCTCTTGGGGCCCTCTTGGAGCCCTCTTGGGGCTCTCTTGAGGCTTTCTCGGGAGCCCTTGAGCGCCTCTTCGGGCCATTTTCGAGGCTACCGATCAAGAGAGGGCCGCAGCCATTTTGGCTCGATGCTCCGGGGGCTTTCGCCGAGCGCTTCGCCAGCGTCGCCCCGCTGCAGCCTCGGAGCGGCGCGTCGGGCCCCGCCGCGCGCTTCTGCGGGCACGGAGGCGCCCCCGCGGCCAGCTTGTTCGCTCCTGCGCCGCCAGTCGGCGAGCTGCTCAGTTCGGAGGAGGGCCAGTCGAGCCGGCGGCGACCCTCCTCGGCGTTTCTCGTCCTCGCTGGAGGGGGAAGTGAGATCGCGGATCGAGGATTGAGGATGGAGGGTGGAAGGGACATGCTCGCGGACGTTCTCTTTGCCGTCTCGGTCCTCCTGGAGGCTTCTCGTCGCTACAGCCAGATCCGCTTCGTCAGGATGGATCCGGGGACCGACTCTGACGCCGCCTGTCGATGGGCCCCGGCACTCCCGCGCGGATCTTCATAGTCTGATCGGGCCCCAATTTTTTTCTCCGCTCTCGCCTCTCGCTCTTTCGCTTCGTGCCTGTGTCAGCTTCGGGTGCAGCCCACCGCTCGGTCTGACCGGCGCCCGACCGTCTCGCGCCCGCTGGCGCCCGCGGGCCAAACATCGTGCCGACCCGGCCTTCCTCCGACCAGCGCCCCTGGGGCCCGCGGCTCTGGCTCCGAGGGCCTGCGCGGCGGGCTGGCTGGCGCGCTGCCCGGGGCCGCAGGGGGGGAACGCTCGCCTCCGCACCGCCCTGGCCGCCCTGGCCTGGGGCCCCGCCGCCTGGGGGCGCGCGAGGCCGCGGAGGGCTCGGCGAGGCAGCGTCCTGGGCGGCCGCGCGGGCGTGTGGTGCCCGAGGGCGGCGGGGAGGTCGGCGCGGCGGCGGGCGGGGCAGCCGGACGGCCTCCGCATGCTGGAGGAGGACGGGGAGCCGGGCCGGGGCGACGGGCGCGAGGTGGACGTCAAGGATCGATGCCGTCGGGCCGAGGTGCCAGGTCGAGGGGTCGCTTCGGGGAGGGTGCCCTGATGTTCTTCGCGCTTGTCGGACGTTCTCGTGCATCCTGGGGGAGGGTACCTTCGAATGACCCCCGGGTTTTTGGAGTGCTTTGGCCCGCGGACGGCCTCATGTTCTTGAAGGGTGTTCTTCTGGTCTAGGTCCGATTGTACGGAAAGAAGGGGTACGATGTTCGGGCCAGACGACAGGGGGGATAGGGAAAGGGGGGGGTACGAAATCTGCTGCATGCAGCTGGTTTCAGTCCCACCGAGGGGCCCATTGCTCGATACATGGCCGCCTCCGGCGCCGGGAGGCGCAGGGAAAACCAGCTACGAGAGCTGATTCTCAAAGCCCCTCTTTGCTATTCCCCCCCTTCGCTCAACCCGAGAAGTCCGATTGCAGTTCCTGTCCGATTCGAACTGGGTTCGCAGTCGGCGTCGCTGCGGGCGCTCTCCGTTAGAGACAACAGGCCGCCTGCCCCCCCCCACAGCGGCTGCCTGTCGGCTCTGGACCACGTTAGTTGTTGGGCCTCGTGCCCGCTTGCTTTCCGCAACCACGGGCGTCCCGAAAGGAGATCCGCGCGTCGCTCCAGATGCTCCGCGTGGGCCAGCCAGGCGACCGGGGCGACGTCGCCCAGCGCGTCCTTGATCTGGCGGGCGCGGACGTCGACGGGAAGATCTCCACGGAGAAGTGGCAGGCCGCGTGGCGCCGCCACCTCGAGGAGAGCGAGGACGACTGGGACGAGGTGAGCCAGGCGATCGCTGCGCTCGACATCGACATATTTCAGTTCCAGGACGTCATCCGCTACGCCTTCACGAACTTCGACGAGAACGGCGACGGGAAGATCAGCCTGGAGGAGTTCTGCCTCGCTTGCAAGACACTGGGCGTTGAGCTCAGCGCTGAAGAGTACGCAAGGATCTTTATCGTGCTCTCGCGGGGCGGCGATTACATCAAGCCAGAGGGGGCTGACCAGCAGGCGTGGCAGAGCTTCGGCCAGGGCTTCGACGCGGCACTGAAAGCGCAGTATGTGAACAAGGGCTTTGCGAGAGCGCAGTTCGTCGTTAACGAGGTGGGTGCCCAATGGGATCGCGACGTGCTCTTGCCGCTGCCGGAGAGGGTGGCGCGAGCACTGGCGACGTTCTGGAACCAGGCGGAGAGCTTCTCCGACCTGGTCGAGTTCCTGCTCGACCTGGTGGGCGTCGGCATCGCTCTGGGCTCTATCAACGAGGAGCTGAACTGCCTCCCCGACTGCAAGGAGGGAGTCGACGTCGCCAACCTGATCCCGCTGGTGTTCCTCTTGCGCAAGAGCCTGAGCGACGTGTTCAAGGAGGTCAGCGACAACTCCGTCCAGGACCTGGACCGGGACACGGCCGTGGCCTTCGCCACGGTCTTCAAGCCCGCGGGGGTGAAGCTGACCGCGTTCACGAGGCTGCGTGGCCAGGGCGCGCGGTGGCACCGCGTCGACCGAGGCCAGGCCGTTCCCTACCTCTCCTGGGCCAACGGCAGCAGCCTGCAGCTCATCGTCCGGGGATCGATGAGCCTCAGCGCCCAGGGGAACGTGGCCGGCCTCAGCGAGACCGTGGCCGTTCTGAAGGCCGGCTCCTTCATCGGCGGCGCCCAGTTCATAGGCGCCGAGGACGGCCTCGTCGCCGGCAGGAGCTCCAGCTCGCTGTTGGCGAACGAGGACGTGCTGCTCCTCGAGTGGCCCGACGCGGCCAAGCTGAGGAGCTTCCTGGACGTCAACGATGATCTTCGAACACAGTTCACCTCTGTCATCGTGAGGTCGATGGCCGCCAGCATGAGCCAGGTGACCAAGCAGTCGAAGAAGTTCGCGACCGAGCTGCCGATGGCTTTCCGGAGCTTCAACTCGGGGCTGGCGACCACCTTCAACGCAGACCGGGCGACCGTGTGGATCCACAGCCCTGCGAACAATTCGCTGTGGACCTGGTTTGTTGCTGGGACAGGGAAGACGACGTACGTCAGCATCCCCGCTCCGTCGGGCCTGGTGGGAGTCGCATTCGCCAAGAAGTCGGAATTGAACATCCCAGACTGCTACGAAGACGACAGGTTCAACTCGGAAGTGGACAAGAAGACGGGCTACCTCACCAAGAACATGCTGTGCGTGCCGGTATTCGACGAACCGTCCGAGCCGGAGCGGGTCATCGGAGTGGTGCAGCTCATCAACAAGATGTCGGGCAGGCCGTCCTCCACCACGGGGCACTGCAGCTTCACAGAGGCCGACACGCGTCGGATGTTTGAGATCCGGTGGACGCTCCAATTCATGATGAAGCAGCTTGGGATCCGGGCTGGCGCTTGAGACAGATGCGTCCTCCTCCTCCCCCTCCTCCTCCTCCTCTTCTCCTCCTCCTCCTCCTCCTCCTCCTCCTCCTCCTCCTCCCCCTCCTCCTCCTCCTCCTCCTCCTCCTCCTCCTCCTCCTCTTCCCCCTCTGCTCTTGGCTTCGCCGCCAGAGAGCGGCACGCGGTTGGCGCAAAGTTCCCTCAGCGTGCCGCGGGCTGCGCGCAGCAACGGAGGGCCCCACTCCATACTTCGCCGCTACGAAAGTTCGGCCAAAATTCAACGCCTCCCGTTAGGCGACGGGGCCCCAGTACAACGTTGGCAGTGGGCCCGTTGGGGCGCGGGGCCCCAGTACAATGTTCGGTTGAAGCATTTTTCGCTCCAGTCTCGGGCGGCACCGCCCTTTCGAAATCGAGTCCGCGGGTTTCGAAATCCAGTCGAGCTCGTTTTGGGGAGGAAGTCCTAGGCGAAAGCCACATTTCGAAATCGAGCCCGAGGGTTTCGAAATCCAGTCGAGCTCGTTTTGGGGAAGAAGTCCTAAGCGAAAGCTGCATTTTCGAATTTTCGGGTCAGGGCTTTTAAATTTTAAATGCCAAACGGTGTGGCCATTTCGAAACGGCGGTTTCGCTTGATACTTCCTCGAAAAAACGATTTCGAACGATTTCGAAACTTTCGGGTTCGATTTCGAAATGGCGCTCCCGCCTAGGACTTCCGCAAAACATCGAATTCGAAATCTTTCTGCTTCGATTTCGAAATGGCGCTCCCGCACAGGACTTCCTCAAAAGTAGAAGTCGAAACCTTTCTGCCTCGATTTCGAAATGGCGCTCCCGCGCAGGACTTCTGCAAAATTAGGTTCGTTGTTTAGCTGAAAACACAAAACGGGTCAAAACTTTCGTAGCGCCGATGTATGCATCGCAGGATGTGTAGCACAGATCCTCCTCCTCCTCCTCCTCTTCCTCCTCCTCCTCCTCCTCCTCCTTCTCCTCCCCCCTCCCGTCCTCCTCCTCCTTCTCCGCTTCCTCCTCCTCCCCCTCCTCCTCCTCCTCCTCCTCCGCTTCCTACTCCTCCCCCTCCTCCTACTCCTCCTCCTCTTCCTCTTCCTCCTCCTCCTCCTCCTCCTCCTCCTATCCTCAACCCCCGTCTGGACCACGGAGACGAAGGCGCCCCCAGGCAAGCGTGGGGGTAGCATGGTTTTCCAACATTTTCTCGACGTGGCTGGCTCGTGCGGCGCGCTTGCTGTATACTTCGGCCAGGCAGGCGGGGCGGCAGCATCGTGGGAGTTGGCAGTGTAACCGTGGCGCCCGAACCACACCGGGTAGCCGCCTCGCTCTGTTTCACCTCGCTCGCGCGCCGTCCGGCGCCGACCTCGGGCCGCTCTGCCTCTGCTCCGCCCCGCCTCGGGGCCGAACTCGCAGCGGCTGCCTGTGACGTGGCTGCTCGGCGGCACCCTGCCGTGCCCCCGGCCGCCTTCGGGTGGGCGCCCAGGCGCTGCTCTCGGCCCTGGGCCCTCAGCTGGAGCGGGCGCCCCCGACGTGCGCGCGCGCGCGGAGGCTGCTGCCGTGCTCTTCCGCCCGGATGCACCGCCGGTGGTCGGTCTCGTTCGGGGGCGGCGGGAAGGGGCCGAGAGGTCCAGAGGACCATGTCTCACAGCATCGAGTCGCCACATGTCTGTGCAGGTGCAACCTGGACCTTCGACGTCGTGGTTTTCCAGTACCTAGGTGCTCTGGACCCCTTGCCAGGGACCGCTTTTTCGTCCCGCATCGTTGTTTGACCTCCCCAGGGCCTGAACCAGCCCCTGGATGCCGAAACACAGTAAAAGCGCTGGGATTGAAATCATCACGATGTCGGAGGACTGGGAGCGTTGGTATCTCTCAGCGATGCCGCCTGGGTGATTGATGCATGGCTGCGGGCGGATAACACTACGGGCTCCATCGCGCATGAGTGCAAGGTTGCAATCTCTATCTGGTGGCCCTCGGCCCATCCCGCAACCGCTTCTCATGTCGCGGAGAAGAGGCCTCTTGCGGATTCTTGGGGGCCTTTTTGAGTCCTTTGGGGCTTCTTGGGGACCTACTGGAGTCTCTTGCGGGCGTCCCCGGCGGCTTTCGAGGCCTTCTGGGGACCCCTTGGGCGGGGTCATCTCCTCTTGAGGTGCAGGGATCCAGATTTCCGCTCGAGATCCACTTCTAGTTTTGACACCTCCTAGGGCCGTCTTGGGGGGCCTCGTGGGCCCTTCTTGGAGGCGTGGATGCCGTCTTGGGGAGATCTTGGGGGCCTTCTGGGCCTTATTGGAACGCTCTGCAAACCGAGTAATTAGACGAGACTATTGAAACCATGCAAACACTGAAGGTTCTCCAACATTCCTGGTCGCTGGGAACTTCTGCAGCCCAGGCGGCGCCCAGGAGCTCTCGGAACTTCCGGATCTGGGGGGACTGGGGGCCCTGGGCCAGAGCAGTTGCAGAGTTGCAGTTTCCAGTGCTGAGGGCTCCGAGGGACCTGATGCTTTTTCGCTCGGTGCCTCGCGGCACTGGCCGACGAAGGCGTGCAGTTGAGCACTTCCAGCTGTCGCGCCCACGGTGCGGACCAGCTGCGGCACGGCAGCCGGGACACGGTTCGGCCGATGCCAGCCCCCCCCGAGCAGGCCACGAGCCGTGCACGGCTGCGGCAGGCGTGCTCCTGGGCGGGCCTGCGATCGGCACCGTGCGCTTCGGTGCCCGAGTGCGAGTGCGGTCGTCGTGAGCCGACGGCCAGCCCTCGACGCTGCAGGTCCTCGCGAGTCCCGAGCTTCGTCGGAGGGGCTCACCCGCGGGGGTGCGAAGGCAGTCGCACTGCGCGAGTCGCGACCTGGGCCGGAGCGGTTGCGCTTCTTCGAGGGGGCGGCGCAAGGGCGCGAGGGCACGAAGATAGGCACGCCACTTTACCTAACAGCGTAGACTGATAGGTTTCTAGTTGATTCAAAAGAGCTCACAGATCACTCCACAGGGGGGTCCGGGCAGGCGTTGGGAGTTGCCGGCCGGGCCTGTGCCGGGCTCGTTTTTCACCAACAGTCACACACTTCGTGCTCGTCGACCTCTCAGAACCCCATTCCCAGGCCACATTCTGAATAACCGGATGCAACAGTCACACACTTCGTGCTCTTCGACTTCCCAGAACTCCATTCCCGGGCCACATTTTGATGCCCGGAGCCAACTGTAGGCCACTTCGTGCTCTTCGATTCCCAGAACTCCATTCCCGGGCCACATTTTGAATGCCCGGAGCCAACTGTAGGCCACTTCGTGCTCTTCGAGTTCCCAGAACTCCATTCCCGGGCCACATTTTGAATGCCCGGAGCCAACTGTAGGCCACTTCGTGCTCTTCGAGTTCCCAGAACTCCATTCCCGGGCCACATTTTGAATGCCCGGAGCCAACTGTAGGCCACTTCGTGCTCTTCGAGTTCCCAGAACTCCATTCCCGGGCCACATTTTGAATGCCCGGAGCCAACTGTAGGCACTTCGTGCTCTTCAAGTTCCCAGAACTCCATTCCTGGGCATGATTTTGAATGCCCGGAGCCAACTGTAGGCCACTTCGTGTTCTTCTAGTTCCCAGAACTCCATTCCTGGGCCACATTTTGAATGCTGAGGCAGGCTGATGCTGCGGCCGAGGCAGGCTGAGGCTGAGGCAGGCTGAGGCTGAGGCCGAGGCTGAAGGCAGACTGAGGCTGAGGCTGAAGCAAACTGAGGCTGAGGCTGAGGCAGGCTGAGGCTGAGGCTGAAGCAGGCTGATGCTGAGGCAGGCTGAGGCTGAGGCTGAGGCTGATGCAGGCTGAGGCTGAGGCAGGCTGAGGCTGAGGCCGAGGCTGAAGGCAGACTGAGGCTGAGGCTGAAGCAGGCTGAGGCTGAGGCTGAGGCAGGCTGAGGCTGAGGCAGGCTGAGGCTGAGGCAGGCTGAGGCTGTGACTGCGACTGCCGTTGCCGCTGCGACTGTCATCGCAAATGCGACTACGACTGCGAGAACAGCAGAATTCTACAACTGGATTTTCATCTGAATCTTAAGGGGAATGCTTTCAGATATGCTTCTACACATCGCTGTTAGGTTGCTTTGCCGGGATAATTTTTCTGACTGCAGGAGCCAACGAATTCGCGCGAAGGAGCTCTGAATGTGGAGACCGCTCTGCCGCCCCCGGGTTGCTGGCTTCGAGCGTGTCCCACTTCCGATTCACCTTGGGTTATTGGTCCCCGCTCGAGCGTGGGCCCTCCCAGGCTGCATTCTAGCCCGTCTTCTTTTGTTGTGCCTTCACATTCCGTCCTTGTCGGCGCCGTCCATCTTGACCATGATTCTTAGGCTTACGCCACACCGCCGACCCCTTGTTTATGCCAATCTGGGGGTAGTAGAAGCTGCGAAGGGGTGAGAAGCGAGTTTTGGAGCCACTTGGGGGCCGGTTCGGAGCCTCTGGGGTGCTTCTTGGGGGTTCCTTGGGGCGTCTGGGCGGCCTCGTGAGGGCCTCTGGGGGCCTCTTGGGGCACTCTTGGGGCCCCCTGGGGCTCCTGGGGGCAGAAAGCTAGAGTTTCAACATGTTTGGTCGCCCTCTTGGGCCCCTCTTGGTGCCGTCTTGGAGCCCTCTTGGGCCGTCTTGGGGACCTCTTGGGCCGTGTTGGGGCCGTCTTGGGCCGTCTGGAGGCCGTCTTGGGGGCCTCTTGGGCCATCTTGGGGCTTTCTTGGGGGCCTCTTTGGCCGTCTTGGAGCGTCGGGAAGCCGAAAAGGCGGAAAAGCAAAAAACATCGAAAAACACTATGGAAAATCAACAATTTTAGACTCTTGGGGTCCTCTTGGGAGGCTTGTTTGGGACCTCGGGGGCCGTCTTGGAGACCTCTTGGCCCGTCTTGGGGCCATCTTGGGCGTCTTGGAGCGGTCGTTTGGCGTCTCGGGGCCTTCGTGGGCCGTCTTGGAGGCCTCTTGGGGGCTTCTTGGCCCGTCTTGAGGCCCTCTTGGGCCCGGAAAAGCCCCGTGAACCGCTCGTCCCGGCCGTGCTGCGCTCGCGCCGGACCCCCCCCCCCCATCCAAATCGACCGGACCGGGCTCCCGGGGGAGGGGTTTGGGGAGGGGGAAGCATCTCACACGCCGATGATCCCCAAGGG